TGCCTCTTGGTCTATGTAAAGATTCCTCAAGAGCACAATTAAGTGTTCTCGAATTCCCATTCTTTGCAATGTTATCCATAGTTGTTATGCTCTACATAGTCAAATGCCTTTGCATAGTCAATAAAACACAAATAAACATCCCTTGGTATTATCTGCTTTCAGCCAAGATGTGCATGACATCAGCACTGATATCCCTCATACTGTGACTTCTTCTGAATCCAGCTTAAATTTCTGACAGTTCCTGGTCAAGGTACTGCTGCAACCATTTTCCACTTATCTTAGCAAAATTTTACTTGTGTATGATATTGATGATATTATTCAATAGGTTCTACATTCTGTTGAATCACCTGTCTTTGGAATAGGCACAAATATGGATCTCTTCCAGTCTGTTGGCCTGATAGCTGTCTTCCAAATTTCCTGGCATAGACAATTGAGCACTTCCAGTGTTGCATCCATTTGTTGAAACATCTCAATTGGTATTCCATTAATTCCTGGAGCCTTGTTTTTTGCCAATGTTTTTAGTGTAGTTTGGACTTCTTCCTTTAATACCATCTGTTCTTGATCACAAATTGAACATCAACTGATTTTTTTTTGGTATAGTGTCTCTGTGTATTCCTTCCATCTTGTTTTGATGTTTCCTATACTGTTTAATATTTTGTTCACAGCCTCCCTCAATATTGGAACTGGAGGCTTGGATTTTTTTCTTCAGTTCTTTCAACTTGAGAGCTTGAGAAATACATTCTTTCCTTTTGTCTTTGCACATTTCATTTGAACACTTTTATCTTCTTGAGCCACCCTTTGAAATCTTCTGTTCAGCTCTTTTACTTCATCATTCTTCCATTTGCTTAGCTACTCTATGTTCAAGAGCAAGTTTCAGAGTCTCTTGTGACATCCATTTTTGTCTTTTCTTTCTTTTAATGACCTTTTGCTTTCTTCATGTGTGATGTCCTTGATGTCGTCCCACAACTCATTGAGTCTTCAGTCATTAGTATTCAGTGCATGAAATCTATTCTGGAGATGGTCTCTAAACTCAGGTGGGATATACTCAAGGTTGTATTTTGGCTCTTGTGGACTATTTTACTTTTCTTCAGCTTCCACTTGCACTTGCTTATGAGCAACTGGTGGTCTGTTCCACAGTCAGCCCCTGGCCTTGTTCTGACTGATGATATTGAGCTTCTCCATTGTCTCTTTCCACAAATGTAGTTGATTTGATTCCTGTGTATTCCATCCAGTGATGTCTAAATGTATAGTTGCCACATATCTTGTTTTTGTTTTTTTTTAAAAAAAAAGGTAATTGCAATGAATAAGTTGTTGTTCTTGAAAAATTCTATCATGCAATCTTTGACATCATTTCTCTTACCAAGGCCATATTTTCCAACTACTGATCCTTCTTTGTTTCCAACTCACATTCCAATCACTAGTAATTATCAATGCACCTTGACTGCACTTTTGATCAATTTCAGACTGCAGATGCTGGTAAATATCTTCAATTTCTTCATCTTTGGTATTAGTGGGTGGTGTATAAATTTGAATAATGGTAGTATTAACTGGTTTTCCCTCTAGGCATATGGATATTATCCTATCACTAACAACACTGTACTTCAAGGTAGATCTTGAAATCTTTTTGATGATGAATGCCACACTATTTCTCTTCAATTTGTCATTCCTACCATGATAGACCATATGATTATCTGATTCATGATGGCCCAAATCAGTCCTTTTCACCTCACTAATGTCTAGGATATTGATCTCCAAACATTTAATTTCATTTTTGACAACTTCCAATTCTCTCAGATTCATACTTCATACATTCCACGTTCTGATTATTCATGGATATTTATAGCTGTTTCTTCTCATTTTGAGTCATGCTACATCAGCAAGGGGAGGTCCTGAAAGTTTTACTCCACCCATGTCATTAAGGTTGACTCTACTTTGAGGAGGCTCTTCTCCAGTGATGTTTTGAGTCTCTTCCAACCTGAGGGGCTCATCTTCTGACACTATATCAGACCATATTTTCCTACTATTTGTAAGGTTTTCACTGGCCTTTTTTTTTTTTTTTTTTTAAGAAGTAGATCACCTGGTTCTTCTTCTTGGTCTGCCTTGGTCTGGAAGCCCTGCTGAACCCTGTCCATCATCCCAGGACAGTGGTATGAAATACCAGTGGCATAGCCTCCAGCATCACTGCAACATGCAATCTACAACAGTCAACAAACTGACAGATGAGTTTAGGGAGATGAGAATCATTTGAAAATGGATAGTGGTGATGGTTGCACAACATGGTAAATGTAATTGATGTCAGTGAATTTTATACTTACAAATGTTTTAACAATTAGCCCAAAGGACTGAGCATGTGAACCTTAGCTCCACAACCCTGAGACCAGAACTAGATGGTGCTCGGCTACCACTGCTGACCGCTCTGAAAGGGGTCACAATAAGAAGTTGTCGATAAAGTGGGGGAAAACATGGAACAAAACTCAAAATCATATTAAAAAAATAAAGAGAGAAAGAGAGACCAGGCTTGCTGGTCTGATGAAGACTGGTGGAACCCTTAAGATTATGACCCCTAGCTGCCCTTCAGGTCTGGAATTGAACCCACTCCTGTGGCTTCCAGCCAAACAAAAGACAGGCATATGAGGGGAACATTTACATTAGGTAGATACACTCCTTGGAGAGAACAATCATGGGAGAATAGAAGGGCTGTGAATGCACAGGGAGACAGCTCAGAGGGCAGGAGTGCATGGAGGGAAGGACACAGGGAAAAGGTAACTATGGGGAGGAAGTGGGAGGGGAGCTGTTGAATTGTGGGAAATTGCAGTCAATGTCATGAGACAAAGTGTATGTGAGCTGCTATATGGAAAGTGAATTTGCTCTGTAAACTTTCACCCAAATCACAATTTAAGAAGGAAAAAAAAAGTCCCTGATAAAGTGGAGGAAAATGTGGAACAAAACTCAAAATCATAAAAAAAAAAAAAAAAGAGAGAGAGAGAGAGACCAGGTTTACTGATCTGATGAAGACTGGTAGAACCCCTGAGACTATGGGCCTTAGACACCCTTCAAGCTAGGAACTGAACTTAACCCCCATAACTCAACTGTCAGCCAAATGATAGGCCTATAAAGTCAACAGTGATATAAAGAAGCTCTGGTGGTGTAGTGCCTAAGGCATTTGACCGCTAACCAGAAGGTTAACAGTTCAAACCCACCAGCCACACTGCCGAAGGAAGACTGGACAATTTACTTCCATAAAGATTTATTGACTCGGTAACCCAAAGGGGTTGCTGAGTTGGAATCTACTAGATGGCAATGAGGATTTTTTTTTTTTTTTTAATTTATGTACTCATTAGAACAGGCAAGCATATGAGATCAGGAAGACAGCATTTTCCCAGGGGTAGAACTGGGAAGGTGGGAGGGGATGAGTGCAGGGAAGAAGTGGGAAGAATGTTGTTAGAGTGTGAGGATCACAGTAATTGTCACAAAACAGAATGTATACGGATTGTTGAATGGAAGACACTTTGCTCTGTAAACTTTCACGCAAATCATACACACACACACACACACACACAAAGTTTTAAATGAAAGGTCCCTGGGTGGCACAGATGGTGTGCATTGAGCTAATAACCCAAAGGTTGCTTGTTCGAACCCACCAAGGAGTACTGCAGAAGACCTAGGCCTGTCAAGTGGCTTCCGTAAAGATTACAGCCAATCCAACCCCAGGGAGTACAGAGTCTCTCCAACTGAACACACAAATAAATGCCTCAAAAAATGTTTTAAATGGTGTAGTAGTTAAGGTTGTGTGTCAACTTGGCTGGGTCTGGTTGAGTGGCTGGGCAGCTGGTGGTAGTTATTCCTCATGATGAGACTGGCAATCAGCTCCACAGTGGGATCTACCGCAAGCAGCTGAGTAGCTGCTTTAGGGCTGTGGTCTGCTTACCATATGTAAGCAGCAGCTTTGGGAGTGGTCTCTAGCTTATGGCATACTTGAACCTTGCATGTAGCCAAGTTGCTGCTCAGTAGCCTGCCATGCTCTGCCAATCCTGGGACTTTCAATGGACTTGAATCAATGACCTGCTGTGTTGTTTGGTGACATCGGGACTGTGCCATTTTATTTGTTGACCTTGGGTTTGTCAGCCTCAGCAGCTAGTAGCTGCCTGAGTGAAGAAAGCCTCCAGCTTCAGTGGGCTGGGAGCAAGAGGCAGAGCTGAAGCCCAAGGTCGAGGGGCTTTCACACAGACCCTAGAGCCTGGCACTCGGAACTTGGACTTCTAGCCTCCCAAACTGTAAGAGAATAAACTCCTGTCTGTTCAAGCCATCCCATTTATAGTATATTCTTTTCAGAGTGGCACTAGGTAACCAGAACAAATGGCAAAGTTTTTGTTACATCTGCTTTACCATAATGAAAATAAAAAGAGTGAGAGAATGTGCTCTGGAGTCGAACTGCCTGGGTTACAAATGAGACTTTACTCTCCTTTTGTTGATTTGGGCAAGTTTTCTAATCTGTCTCTGCCTCAGCTATTAAGGTGTAAAATGGGGATGGTGACAACAGCACCTACCTCACAGGGTTGCTGAGATAACTAAGTGAGGTATTACCTTCATGTGAGTGTTTTAAAAAGTGCCTGACACCTAGTAAGTGCTCAGGGAACATTAGCAATTAGAGTCATAGAAAAATTACCATAGGAAAGTCACAGAAGAAGAAGTACAATTTACCTACAAATTTACAAAAGACTATTTTACTCCATCTTTTCCACAATGGTCTGGTCCAAAGTAGGTGCCTGGTAAGCATTTCAAATGGATTCAAAGGCACTAACTGGTTAGAGTTCCTCTCCCTGACTCCCCCCTGCCTCACCTGCTCCTGGGTCCCCTGGGGCTGATTCTTGAGGTCAAGGGTCCCAGGGCAATACCTGAAAATACTTCCCCCCTTCCATCCCACTGCCACCCTTGTCCGTCCTGCTTGGAGCTCTTCCCTCCTCCCCTCTCCCCAGACTCTGGGCCCTCGGTACCCCTACCATCTCAGCGAGCTTGCGGATGGCTGGGCACAGGGTGTTGACGGTGACCTGGTACCACGGGTCTGCTCGGCCCAAGAATGAAGCCAGCTCTCCGAGCTTGGGCTGCCTGGATGTTCTGGGCTCCTGGGGTTCAGGGGAGGGGAACAGACCTTTTAGGCACCTTCTTCCTAGTCGGTGGGTCCACAGTTCCCATCATCCTTGTTTCTAATTCCAGGCAAACTAGCTTTGTAAATGCACACAAGTCACAGCCTTGATTCCAACGCTGTGTGAAGATGAGTTTTTGTTTTGTTTTATATCCCAGATGAAGCTGGAATGCCCTTCACTGAGGGTCACTTGCCAAGAACACTGAATCGTGCTTATCAGTTTCAAAAGGGGACAATGATTGCTTTGACTTTAATGTAAATAGAGAGGTGTGTGCAACAGAAGGTAACAAGTGCAAGTGCATGTTCATCTCCCTTCACTACATCCGGGCTTCCATTGCCTGAAATTTCCATCTATGTGATCCCAGGAAGTGTGATTGAGTGGTGTGGTATGTGTGTGTGTGTGTGTGTGTGTGTGGTGTATGTGTAAGTGTGCACTGTGTGTGTGTGGGGGGGATGTGTGTGTGTGACAGAGGATGACTGGGAGTGAGTGTGTGATGTGTGTGTGTATGTAGGAGTGAGTGTGGTGTTTGAATGTGTGTGGTATGTGTGGTGGTGGGCTATGTGTGTGTGTGAGAATGTGTCCCAGGTAGCGGGTATAGAGAGCTGATAGGCAGACAGCTTCTTTCTGACTGTTCCACTAAACTATCTGCCCCTTCCCCTCCTCGGGGCTCAGGTTCCCCTTCTGCACCACTTTTAAAGAACCACACTGCTCTGGTACCTGCTGACATGTGGGAGTAATACTGTAGGACCGAGAGCCCGTGTTTAAGGAGAAGCTTGCAATCTAGTCCATTAAAACCAAACATAACTAGGAAACAGTGATGGGCAGGTAGCCATGGTGAAAGGAGGTGTCTCCAGCCACATTCAGCCCCTGGAGCGGAAGACGCCCTGCTCCGCATTCTGAGGATGGGGACTGGGTTTCCATGGGGGAACCACAGGGATGGGAGGCCACAGGTGTGTCCCTGCCCAGTCCCACCCTTTGTTGGCCCAGACCCTAACCCAAACCACTGCTCTCCATCCGCTCCTTCACTCCCCCGTTGTCTCCGCCCCCCATCCAGTCACCTCGGGGGCCAGCATGGGGACGTAGTAGAGCTGCAGGCTGAGTCGGGGAGTGAGGTAGAACTTCTGGGTCTCTCGTTTCCTGGCAGCGGGCAGCAAAGCAAAGGAGATCAAAGCGGGAGTTTGAACAGACTCAGCTCCACATCTTGGCTCTGCCACTTCGTCTATCTGGACTTGCTGCAGTTTACCTAGTCCCTCCAAGCATCTATTTTCTCATCTATAAAATGGGTGCAGTGACATCTGCCTGGCAGGGTCGCAACAGGGATGAACGGCACTAATGAACAGTGAGCACAGCGCCCAGCACATGGTACAAGCGTGGGGAGTAACAGTGCTGGCTAGCATCCCCCCCATCCCCCCCATCCCCCCCTGGCCTCTGCCTCCAGACCCTCTCTCCACTCCTCGATCCTTCCCCAGCCTACTCCAGGGCCTCTGTGCCCTAGCCAGCCCCTCAGAGCCCTACCTGAGAATGTGGTAGGCCTGGGCCAGTCGCCCCAGCATCCTGTCGTCCCCCAGCACCAGCACCCGGGCCGTGTGCACCCGGGAGATCCCAGGCAGCAGCTCCCCATCCCCGCTGGGCCCACCCGTCCTCCGGTGCAGCCCTGGGGGCCCGTGCCAGCTGCCAGGCAGCAAGAGCTCCGGGGGCCACGTCCGTTTCTTGATGCCCCCTTTGCGCTGCAGTCCGGCTCGCTCCACCTCGGGGCTGCCAGGTGCAGGAGGCTCATCGGCCCCCGAAGGAAGGTCCCGCTCGATGCCACTGTCAGTGGACAGCACAGACACCCGGGCCAACTCCCGGTCTGGTGGGAGACCCTGCAGATCCAAGGCCTCCAGGTCGGCGCTGAGGCGGAGGCAGGACCGCGGGCGGAGGAAGAGAACCAGTTCTTTCCCTGGGAGGCAGAGGGCAAGGCGAGGTTAGGGCAATGAGGTCCATGAGGCCAGCAGGTCTCACTCCAGAAAAGCCTATAAAGGAAACCAAACCAAACTCACTGCCGCAAGTCGGATCTGACCCATAGGGACCCCTTCTTGGGTTTCCAAGGCAATATTATCACTGAGGAAGTAGATTGCCCAATCTTCCTTCCGAGGAGTGGCTGGTGGGTTTGAACTGCCAGCCTTCTGATTAGCAGTCAAATACCTTAGGCACTATGCCACCAGAGCTCCATAGAAAAGCCTGTAGTCCTGTTATTTAAACACTGCTCAGCTGGAGATGCCCCATAAGATGCTAAACAGACAAAACAAATAGTTCTGTGGTCAACACAGTTTTGAGAACCCTGCACACTTCTGCTACGTATTGTTGATTTCTAGTAGTAAACTTATTAAAGGCTCTGAGAAATCCTGCAGTAAAGAAATCCACTTAGCTCAGTCTTTCCCACATTTAACTGATCCTGGAGCTCTCTCTTTCATATATATATATAAAACAAAACAAAACAAAACAAAAAACACTGCAATTGAGTCGGATCCGACTCATAGTAGCCCCTCCTTGGGTTTCCAAGGCACTATTACTACGGAAGTAGATCGCCCAACCTTCCTTCCGAGGAGTGGCTGGTGGGTTTGAACTGCGAGTCTTCTGGTTAGCAGTCAAATGCTTTAGACACTTGATTTGTGTCCTCAAGCCCCACCCCTTGCAAATGTGTGTTGAAATCCTAACCCTTGCACGTGTAAATAGGACCCTCCTTGGAAACAGGATTTTTTTTTGTTATGCTAATGAGCTTATAGGAGCTCTGGTAGCATAGTGGCTAAAGCACTTGACTGCTAACCAGAAGGCTGGCGGTTCAAACCCACCAGCCACTCCTCGGAAGGAAGGTTGGGCAATCCTACTTCCGTAGTGATACTGCCTCAGAAACCCAAGGAGGGGTCGCTATGAGTTGGGGCCGACTTGACGGCACACAACAACAACAACAACAATGAGCTTACAAAAGAATAGAAAAGGAAAAAAACTCAGTGCCAACAAGTTGATTCTGACCCTGTTTGGGTTTCCTAGGCAGTAAATCTTTACGGAAGTAGATTGCCCAGTCTTTCTTCCCCACAGTGGCTGGTGGGTTTGAACCACCAACCCTCTGGTTAGCAGTTAGATGTCATAGGCACTACGCCACCAGAGCTCCTGTCAGAGTAGGGTGGGTCTTAAACCTCATCGCTTCTGAGTCTTGGAAAGAATGAAATAGACCCAGAGAGACACACACGGGAAACACCCACATGAAGACAGGCATACAGAAGGATGCACCTACACACCCAGGAACTCTGAGAACTGCCAGCTGTTAGAAGCTGAAATAGATAAAGGACATCTCCCTAGAGCCACACCCTGAATTCTGACTTCTAGGCACCTGACTGTGAGAATACAAATGTCTGTTCTTCAATGGCATCCACTTGTGGTATTTGTGTTACAGCAGCACCAGGAAACTAGGGCAGTTACCATCCTCCCCTTCTCTCTGCCCACAGCTTCCTCTGGGACACCGACGCCAGCCTCTACGCTCTGGGGAACCCCTCCAGGCTTCTCTAATCTACCCTCCTTTCCTTACAGATGAGTAAATGGAGGACCAGAGAGAGAACTGAGTCCATCTAGTGTGACTCAGCAAGTGGAAGGAAGTGCCAGGCCTTGGACCCAGTTCACCTGTTGTTCTAGTTCTCTAAACAACAATGATAAAAAACCCCAAACTCACTGCTGTGGAGTCAGTTCTGACCCATAGTGACCCCCACTGGGTTTCTGAGGCTGTAAATCTTTATGGAAATAGATTGCCCTATCTGCCCTCCTTGGAGCCACTGGTGGGTTTAGAACTGCCACCCTTGTGGTTATCAGCCAAATACCTTATCCACTATGCCACCAGAGCTCCTTCTTAGTTATCTAATTATCTCAGTTATCTAGTTCTTAGATATCTAGTGCTACTGCAGTAGAAATACCACAAAAGGGGGGCTTTAACAAATAAATTTATTTTCTCAGTTTCAGAGGCTAGATAGAAATGCAAATTCGAGGTACCCGCTCTGGGGGAAGGCTTTCTTTGTCTGTTCTGGGAGAAGAGCCTTGTCTCTTCAGCTTCTGTTTCCTGGTTCCTTGGAGATCTCCACATGGCATCTCCCTTCCCCCATCTCTGCTTGCTTAGTCTACTCCTTTTATATCTTGTAAGAGATTGACTCAAAACATACTCTACACTGATCCTGCCTCGTTAACATAACAAAGACAACCCATTTCCAGATGGGATTATAGCCACAGGCACAGAGGTAAGGATTCGCAACGCATATTTTTTGGGGGGACACAATTCAACCCATAACACCTATCCAGTGCTTCCCACTCCAGGAACCTGGCAGCAGACAGTGGGACAGGAGACGCCTGGGTTCAGGCAAAGTGTCAGGGTGAGTGGAGCTCTCTGGCGACTCCTCCAGCTCTGGGGAGCCATCACTGTTTAATGCCTGCCTCCTCCTTGGGGACATTGTTGGTGTCATCAGTGAGCCACCGACTAGGCGCAGGTGGCCAGTGGCTAATATACTGCGCTCTTCTGACATCGAGAAAGTGTGTCCTTCTTCCAGACGCATGGAACGGCTCAGGGAAGGGAGTAAGGAGTGTGCACACACAGACACACACATCCACGTGCACACCCACATGCAGGCGCACAGAGCACTCTGTCCACCAGCCACCCACAGAGAAGCCTCCTTCTGCAGGGGTCCAGGCCCAGCACTTACACAGCTGCTCTTCATCCGTCCACAGGTGTAAGGTGATGTGAGGGCTGGGTAGGGGGATGCTCGGTGGCCGGTCCTGGAGAGGGTCACCTGAAGGAAGGAGCAGGCTGTGGGGACCATAGACGGGTGGATGGTGGGCTTCTTTGGTGCCCTCCCCGTCCTCCCCAGGGGCCTAGAGGAGGTGACAGAGACCCTCTCTGTCCTCTCCCTTGTCTTGCTGAGCCGTCCTTCCCATGTGGCTTCTCTTCCTTCCAATCCCTGCCACCATCAGCTCATCCAGTCTGGGCCTAACATTGCAGCCATCATCCCTCTGCCCAAGAGTCCTTAAAAGTTCCCTATCCCCTACCTACTTCTCAGACCAGCATTTAGGGCCCATGACCAACCAGCAGCACTTACCGTCTTATATACACTCTTCTCCTAAAAATGCCTCCCTGGCCCCTACTCCACCCTGCAGCTGAGCTGGTCTGTCCAATATTCCCTAAATGCTATGTGTGCATCCAGACCAGGAAGACAAGGCCTCTGTTTATCTCAGGGCCTCTGCAGAATCTGGCACACAGGAGACATCCAATGAACATTTGTTCTAGTCAATGATGCTGGAGACCTCAGCAGCAAAGTGCCAAGGGCAGCAGGAACCTGGGGCAGGAGAGGCCAGGGCAAGCCCCTCCTCCTGTTCCTCCTTTTGGAAGCCTTCCTGGCCACTCCAGCCATGTGGTCAATCCCTCCCAAGCAGATCTTACTGTCTGCACATTGGGCACACTTCACATGTAGCCTTAAGCTTTGGCTCTTGTTTAACTTCTGCACAGCCAAGGCTCCCTCTCTAATGAGGCTGCAGGCTTCCTTGTGGGAGAGCAACCAATGTTAATTGACCACCCCCTGCCAAGCACTGTTCTATTCACCTCATGTGCATTAAATCATCTCACTGGATCCTGCCAGCAACCCTGGGTGGCAGGTACTATTATTATCTCCAGTTGACAGAGGAGGAACCAGAGGCCCAGAGAGGTTAAGCAACTGGGCCAAGGTCATAGAATAAGTGGCAAGCCGTAATGTAAGCCCTTAGCCCCCAACTCATGGGCAACCCCATGTGCCTGGTCCTGCCTGCGCCATCTCCACGATCAGTCACGGATCAGACTGTTGTGAGCCACAGGGTTTTCAGTGGCTGATTTTCAGGAATAGATGGCCAGGCCTTTCTTCCTACACCGTCTTAGACTGGAAGCTCTGCTGAAACGTGTTCAGCCTCAAAGCAACACGCCAGGCCCCACTGACAGACAAGTGGTGGCTGTGGGTGAGGTGCATTGCTCAGGAGTCGAACCCGGAACTCCTGAATCAAAAAAAAAAAAAAACCAAACTCAACTGCCGTTGAGTCAATCCCTACTCATTACTCATAGCGACCCCTCCTTGGGCTTCCGAGGCAGTATCTCTACAGAAGGAGATTGCCTAATCTTCCTTCCGAGGAGTGGCTGGCGGGTTTGAACCGCCAACCTTCCGGTTAGCACTCAATAGAACTCCTGAATGGTGCGTGAGAATTCTGCCACTGAGCCCTACTCCATCTTAACCACAATACCTTGCTCTTAACCACTGTGCCATGGGGAGCAAAGCCCAGATGTGCTCCAGGGTTTGTCCCAGCGTCAGGAACCATGTCCTGGGGTGACCAGAGGCAGTTTAGAATATTAAAAGGAGAGAAAACCCAGAATACGGAGGGGATCTTCAGGCAAGGCTCCATCTGCCAGCCTCGCCCTGACTTCTGCAGCCGCCACCCTCCCAGGGGAGAGGGGCTCAGCTGCCAAGCTGGAAACCTGGGACCAGCATGTGGATGGACCTCGGCTGGTGCTTTCAGTCCTCAGCCCCATGCCCAGGAACCATGGGCACACAGCCAGGGGCTGTGTGTTCTGAGACATGCTGACAAATCCCATTGGGACTTTGAGCAACCGTGAAACATGACACAAATCATGACTGTCCTGTAACATGCAGAAAATAGATATTCCGGGACACTCCTCTAGGCTGGTTCTGATGTTCCAATCCAAATGGGCTTCTTTCCCACAGCGTCACTGTGTATGTTATCTTACAGAAATATAATTAGAAAGAAAATGTGCTGAATAAAAATGCATGATACCCACAGAAATGCTGTTGACTCATCTGCTATTTTTGATGATCAAATCATTTGGTTAGTGTAGCATCAACCATGTACTGTCAAGTCGACTTTGACTCAGGGCGACCCTACGTGTGTCAGAGTAGAACTGTGGTCCACAAGGTTTCCAGTGGATGATTTCTCAGAAGTAGATCACCAGGCCTTTCTTCTGCCTCTGGCTGGACTCGAACTCCCAACTTTCTCTCAGCAGCTGAGTACATTAACCATTTGCACCCCCAGGGCCTCCACTATAGCATAGTGGTTAAGAACAGATGGCCTGGCTTTGAGTCTTTTCTCTGCCACTTACTGGCTGAGTGATCTTACGCAAGATATTAAACCTCTTTTCTCAGTTTTCTCATCTGTAATATGGTGACAAAAATAGTCTCTATCTCATAAGTTTATGTTGAGGATCAGTTGATTTAATAGTTGTAATAGATTTAAATATATTTAAAGTGCTCAGAACAACACCTGAAGTATATACTAGATACTAGTGCCTAAGGGAGCCCTGGTGGTGTAATGCCTAAGGCATTTGACTGCTAACCAGGAGGCTGGCGGTTCAAAACCACCAGCACTGGCCACTCCTCGGAAGGAAGGTTGGGCAATCTACTTCCATAGAGATACCGCCTCGGAAATGCAAGGAGGGGTTGCTATGAGTAGGAATGGACTGGATGGCAGTGAGTTTGGCTTTGTATAGGTGTTAGCTGTTATTACTACCAAAATAAGATAAAGACATCCTTCCCCTGTAACCAGGAGAAACGAGCCCGTGACCATCAGCTCTACTTACTTACAACCAACGGCAAGAGAGTTTGGTAGAGCCGGACAGTCTGCTGTTCTGGACTGGATTCGGGTTTCTTGACTTTTGAAAACTCTCTTGCCCTTCCTCCCACCTACCTTCTTAGCCCTGGGCCTGCCAAAATCCTGGGCTGTCCCTCAGGCTGTCCCTCTTCCACTGCTCAGCTCTGCAGGTACAGTGTGGCCTGTGCACGGGCAGCCTGTGCTGCTCTTTGGCGCCCCCTGTGGGCCCACTGCCCCAGCTGCTCCCTTGGCAGAGTCCTTCGATCGCAGCCTCAACCATCTCCACAGAGGCTGGGGCTTCTGGGCCTTCCGCCGCGTCTGCAGGTCACTTACCGCCGCAGCGACCGCTTGCGGCCGCTAGGGGCCCCAGCAGCGAGCAGTAAATCTCCTCCAGTCTCTCCAGATGACAAGCCCGGCTTGGGCTGGGCTCATTCGCCATTTGCTCCACAGCGGCCACCACAGCGTGGAAATACTGCTCCAGGACGAGGCGGGGGCTGGCCTGTTGGGGAGCAGCATCGAGCTTGGGTTCTGGCCCAGCACTCACCCAGCCCAGCAGCTAGGCCAAATCCACAGGGACATGGGCAGCCCAGCGTGACACTTCCCTTCTGCTTCTGTTATGTCAGGCGGGAGCCTCCCTGCGGAAGGCTTCTGGGCCCCACATCCAGGTCCTACTTCTGCCCGGTGCTGCCTATAACCGGAATCCGCCCGCCCCTGCCCTCCCATACATGGCCTGGTAGCCTGGTTCTGAGAGACAGCTGGAACCCTGTTAAGTCTGTAACACAGAGAGAGGGTCAAGGATGGCCGCTGACTCCACCCCTTTTAGAGTATCACCAAGCACTTGGACCAATGTTCAGTCCCCACTGGGAGGAAACTGCAGGAAGGCAGGAATTTTGTCTGTTTTGTTTACAGCTGCATCCTCGGCTTGTAGTTCTTGGTACATAGTAGGTGCTCAATAAACATTTGTTGAATGACTATTTCCTAAACTTCTGTTAGTTTCTGTATGACTTTGACATACCACCTATATACTATTATTTACTCTATTTTTCTTAAATCAGCTCACTTTTCTGGTTCAAAATTATTTTAAGAGGAAACTATGCTGCCACTCATGAAACAAAAGTCACTTGTTATAAATAGAAAATATTTAAAATGAATATAATTGTCACAGAGCACTATTATTAAATTCTAGCTAGGTACTGTTGCCTGCCAAGATTTTGAGTTGAAGCTCATGTCCTTTTTTTTTTTAAAGAAAAGGTGAGGTTAGGGTAGGGGTAAGCTGAGCTTTTCTCCTTAATGGAAATGTTGTTGTGTGCTGTCAAGTCGGAGCCGACTCATAGCGACCCCTCCTTGGGTTTCCGAGGCAGTATCACTACGGAAGTAGATCAGCCCATCTTCCTTCCGAGGAGTGGATGGTGGGTTTGAACCACCAGCCTTGTGGTTAGCAGTCAAGTGCCTTAGGCACTATGCTACCAGAGGAGGTTTGAAAGAGAAGGGAAAGGAAAGAGGTCTCTCCTTGTGTCATTCAATGCTCTAATGGTGCGGCTTGATACCTGGTGAAACCCTGCCTTGGATCATACTCTCTGGCTTTCTTCCCTTGCTCCTAAACTGAAAACTCACTGCCATTGAGTCGATTCTGACTCACAGCGGCTCCCACTGGGTTTCAATGAACTCCATCTCATAACTGAAGACACAGGAGCCAGAACATGTGACAAGGCCAAGCACACCAAGCCTGCACTAATCTCAGTTCTGTGCTAGGGATTTTCTGAGAGGCTGTCTAACTCCCTGGGCCAAGGGAGAGTGGGTCATTGTGACTAGCTATGAGTCAAATAGTTGCTGAATGAACAAATGAGTGAAGGAAGAAAGCATTTGGAGGGATATGGAATCAGACTTCAAAGGGGCAACAGGGACCATCTCATCTTGTTGCTTCATTTCATAAACTTCCCATTACTTAACAAATACATGTTGAGCACCCACTATGAGCCAGGCGCTGTACTGGGATACAGCAGTGGACAAAATGGACAAAAAGTCCTGTCCTCTTAGAGCTTATAATGTGTGTGTGATAATCAACAAAATAAGTAAAATTTCTACTATGATAGATTATAATAAGTATTGAAGAAAACAGGTAAGGGAGATATGAAATTTGGGGAGATGCTGAAATTTCAGATAGTGTGGTCAGGGAAGCCTCATTGAGAAAGTGACTTTTAAGTAATGACTTGAAGGAAGTGAAGGGACATTCCAAGCTTAGGAAACAGCACATGCAAAGGCCTTGGGGTGCAAGTCTGTCTGTTGTGTTTGAGAAACAACAAGGAAGCCAATGTACCTAAAGCAGAAAGAATGGAAGGGAGAGTGCAGGAGGCGGACCAGAGAGGAAACGACAGGTGCGGACAGGTCCTGAATCTTGTAGGCCATCTGAATGACGCTGGCTTTGATTCCACACAAGATGGCGTAGGAGGAGTGGTGGCTACTCGGATTCCCACCTTCAGGGCTAATGCACTCCTTACCCTAGCTACAGGGAGTGTTGGCCGCTGATAGCTCTCAGCTGTGGCTCTCTCTAAAATTGTCCTGAGCTGAAGAGAGCCCCTCTCCCAAGGTCATATTCCTTTCCTGAGATCATCTACATCCAATGACTTGTTGTTGTTGTTATGTGCTGTCGAGTCAAACCCGACTCATAGCGACCCCTCGTTGGGTTTCCAAGGCAGTATCACTATGGAAGTAGGATTGCCCAACCTTTCTTCTGAGAAGTGGCTGGTGGTTTGAACTGCCAGCCGTCTGGGTAGCAGGCAAGTGTCTTAGCCACTATGCTACCAGAGCTCCCATTCAATGACTAGCTAATACAAAAACCACAAAGGCCTGGCCCCCTTGCCCTAACCTGGGGCAATTCTGAAAGGCCATCTCAGCTCCAGAGCTTCCCATAGGATCTGCAACTACGTTCCAGGTGAGTTTTTCCGCTGCCCTATCCTGCGCTTTTATGCCCCACAGGGGTTCGATCCTGACAGGGCTGCCCAGTATACTTCCTCTGAGTCAGAGGCTCCTTTGCAGGGAACTTGACTGTGACAGATGGGGAGACGGGGACAGCTGAGCAGAGGAGTGGCAGAACTGACTCCCATTTTAGCAGCTGCAGAGTTGAGAGTGGGGTAAGAGCAGAAGCAGGGAGACAGGAGACTGCTGAAATGATGCAGGCGAGAAACGGCAATGGCGTAGGCCAAGGTGGCAGCGTTGGAAGTGGAAAGAAGTGTTTGGATCCCGCCCATATTTTGAAGATGGAGTCAACAGGAAGGACTCAAGGATGCCCCCCAGGGTTTTTGCCCGAGTGATTGGAAGAATGGCATGTGAATGAGTTGCCACAGTGAAAGGCTGTGAGTAGAGGAAAAGAGGAAGATTAGAGCCCAAGCAGCTGTGGCTGGTTCACAGTCACGCTGCCACCCACAGAAGAGCTGGCTTTCAAAGCTGCCTCTCCCGACTTCCTTCCTTGGCCTCGTCCTCATGTCCCTGCAGAAATCCCCGGTTTCACTGTTAACAAGCCTCACCTGGTCCTCATAGCCCCGGCCCCACATGGGGCAGCCCTACCTGGAGACACTCCCACCTCTGGTGCCCAAAACGTGGTACCAGAGGGCCAGAGAGGTGGGCTGTCCCAAGCTGCCCTTCCAGTCTCAGTACCTTGCAGCTGGTCCTGTGGACACATGCAGAGACCAATATACGCCCCACCTGGGCCTCAGACCCAGGCCCTCAGCAGACAGGATGTGGGTTGGTGGTCAGACAAGGCCTCTCCACTAGGCCAGTGACTGGCTGAGTCATCTCTCCCAGGCCCCACTTGATCTCAACCAGCCGAGGTATGATGGGGAATCGTACTCCAAAAGCTGCTGAAAGGGACTGAATCTCAGACAGTGGAGCTTAGGTAGAGTGATGGTCAACAAGAGCTAGAGTGCCCAGGCCAGGCTGATGTCAAGGGACCCCAGCTGATATTTGCAAATAGGTTGCCAGCCCTTTCTTCCTAGTCTCTATTAGTTGGACGCTCTGCTGAAATTTTTCAGCATCACAGAAACATATAAGCTGCTTCCACTGACAGATCGGTGGTGGCTGCATATGAGTTGCACTGACTGGGAATTAAGCCTGCATCTCCTGCCTGGAAGATGGGCCACTGAACCGCCAATGAGCCAACCAAACCCATTGCCATCAAGTTGATTCTGACTCATAGCATCCCCACAAGGGAGAATAGAACTGCCTCGATAGGTTTCCAAGGCCGTAAATCTTGACGGAAGCAGACTGTCACATATTTCTCCCACACAGCAGCTGGTGAGTTTGAACCACCAGCCTTTCAGTTAGCAGCCGAGCACTTAACCACTGTGCCACCAAGGCTCCTTACCAAACCACCAATACCTCCTATATTATGCATATATGTATACCCATATGTTATGGATTGAAAAAATATGTTTGGTAAATGATTAACTCTATTCCTGTGGTTATAATCCTATTTAGGAATGGACTCTTTGTTAATGAGACAGGATTACGTAGAGTGTGTCTGAAATCAATCTTTTGAGATATAAAAGAGATTAAACAAGCAATTTTTGCAGAACCTAAAGGGGGAAGAGAGACGCCAAGCCACGTGAAGATCAGCCAGGAGCAGAAGCCCAAGGAGACAAGGACCTTCTCCAGAGCTGACACAGAGAGAGCCTTCCCCTGCAGCTGGCACCTGGAGTCAGACTTCCAGCCTCCTGACGTGTCAGGAAATGAATTTCTGTTTGTTACAGCCTCTCACTTGTATTTCTGTTATAGCAGCACTAGAGAACTAAGACACTATCTGCAGGATGTAAAACTGTATCTAGAGCTTGCTAGCTCAGTTTTTTTTAAAAGAGTGGTGGGACTGGAAGACAATTGAACATAAGCTTGAAGTTATAGATCTGGGTTCAAATCCTGACTCAGTTACTTCATGTCAACTTCACTGTCCCTTATTTTCACTGTGTGTAAATGGAGATCATTTCATAGGGTTGTGGTGAGAATTTAAACATATAATGCATGCAAAATGCTTAATACAGTACCTGGAACATAACAGACATTCAAGAATTGGTGCCTGTTATGATTATCATGGGAGCTCTGGTAGTGTAGTGCTTAAGGCACTTGACTGCTAACCAGAAGGCTGGCGGTTCAAACCCACCAGTCGCTCCTCGGAAGGAAGATGGGGCAATCTATTTCCGTAGTAATACAGCCTCAGAAACCCAAGGAGGGGTCGCTATGAGTCAGGTCTGACTTGACAGCACATAACAACAACAACAATGATTATCATGGGAGCTATGGTGGCATAGTGCCTAAAGCATTTGACTGCTAACCAGAAGCCTGGCAGTTCAAACCCATCAGCCATTCCTTGGAAGGAAGGTTGGGCAACTTCCATAGTGTTCCTTAGAACTCAAGGAGGGATCACTATGAATCGGATCCAACTTGAGGGCAGTGAGTATGATTATCGTTGTCAATATTATAAAAACATATTCTTTAAAATGCTAATTGTTCATTATGCTTGGGTAAAAGGATTATGAGTGATTTTTATTTTCTTCTTTGGCTTATGTGCATTTTTTCAGATTTTCCTTAGTGAATATGTATGTTGTTGTTGTTGTTGTGTGCCGTCGAGTTGAACCCGACTCATGGTGACCCCTCCTTGGGTTTCCGAGGCAGTATCACTACAGAAGTAGATTGCCCCATCTTCCTTCCAAGGAGTGACTGGTGGGTTTGAACCGCCAGCCTTCTGGTTAGCAGTCAAGTGCCTTAGGCACTCTGCTACCAAAGCTCCCATGGAATGGGATGTTTTATTTTAGGAGAAAAAAATAGATAATGGAAGAGGAGAAGGAGAAAGAGGAGTGGAGCAAGTGCTTGGTGTGGGCGCGCTGGGAGCTGGGCTGGAACTGACGAGGGCTGGGGGCAGAGCACTACCTGCAGCTTCTTCTGCAAAGCAGCCACGTGGCAGGCCTCCCCCAGCGCGGCCTGCAGGGCGTGGGAGACGACGTGGCGCATGCAGGCTTCCGGCGTCTGCTGCACCTGCGCCGCCTCAACCTCCAACAGCAGGGCACTGCACACGGAGGGGGAGACCAGCTCCGGGTCCACGAAGAGGAACACTCTGAGGGCAGAGGCGGGTGGGGAGAAGGGGACTGGTGAGGATGACTGCTGGGAGAGGGGCCGCCAGATGGGCGCCCTCAGAGGGCTGCCGCTCCCCAAATTACCGAGTCCCTCCTAAAGCAAGAGACTTCAAATTCAGAAGCCTGTGGGAAGGACATAGGGAGAGGCAGGGACTGTGGCAAATAAGAGCACACAAGTCGCTTCTAGAGGGGCAGCTGGTGCTCAGCTACAGTCCGCAGTCTTCATATAGGAAAGTAACCCCAACCTTGTGTCTTGACAAGAGTCCAAGCTAAATCCTGCTCTTCTGTGAAGGAAGGAGAAAGGGCTAGGGTCCTGGCCCAGTGACCATGTCGCCCTCTAGGAACCACGCTATATCTTTCCAGCTGAAACTAGATCTCGGAACCTGAATGAGTCCTGTCTTCTCCCATCACCGTATCACACTAGAAAACCAGTCCCCCACCACCCTCTCCTCCCTGCTCAACTGTGTCATCCCAACCTCTCCCAGGTTAGTTTTCCGGTCCTAATACCCCTGGAGCCTTCTCCTCCTTGCACCCTTCATGAACCCAGAACCTCAAGCCTTAACCCAATGCTGGAACTTTTAGTGCCAAGTTGGGAGAGGTGCCTGCAGAGGATGAAGGCATGCACCCCTAATCCATCAGCTTCTCCCCCACTATGAACAGTGGATGCTTCCTCGATCTCATCTAGGTTCACATAGATGAAAGCCACACTTCTAAGCAGACTGTGGCCCAGAGCCCCTACAACACAGCTCTCATGAAACCACTCCAGGCTGCCTGGCTGGCTCGAGGCTGCATCAATGCCATGGCCGTGGGCAGAATGGAGGTGGAGCAGCAGGACTCCAGAGTAGTCTTGTGGCCATGCCCACCGTCTGCAGGTGAACAGGTTAGCTCTGAAGCCAGCCCCCTAAAAGAGAGCTGTGCTGCTTTTGGCGGTCTCCAGAGAAGGATATGCCTTATCCACCCTGGCGAATGCACTCCGTTGTTGAACAGGTGTCACAATTGGGAAGCTCTGCTAGGACCCAAGCCAGCCTCCTCATTTCTCCTGTTATCCAAGAGCAGTCACATAGTGCTCCAGGCAGTAGGGCTGAAGGCAGCAACCTTCTGAGTAACTCACCTCTCCTGGTAGGGATACAGCTCACTTATCAAGTTCTGTTCAGCAATGACCATCCTTTGGTACAACGTCCCTGAAAACAGACCGCGTTAGCCAACCAGTCCCTGTATCTCTGACTCCCCTCCTTGCACAGAGGGTGCTGAGACTTCTTGAGCTCCCCTGTAGCCTAGAGGAAGAGGCAGGACCTGGGGTGGCACCGGAGTTATAGCATGGAGAAAAAGGCACCCCATAGCCCTTACCTGGGACAGCTGTCTCTGTCTTCAGTTGGACGGCACAGTTCAAGGCAACTGTGCAGTAGGGGGTGGGCAGGGTCAGTAATCTTGTGCAAAAGGTGTAGGTTCTCCGGTAGAGCTCCTCAGTGATGCCTGTGGCCTGGGAGAGATGGGGGGAGTTGGGTGCCCAGAGCTGTAGTTTCTGGAGGATCCTGGGTCAGGTTGGGGTAAGGTGGGAGAAGAAGTCGGGTCAACCTGACACCAGATAGGGGCTCAGACTTTTCTGGCTGTTCATGACCCTCAAGTCTACAGCTTCCAGCATTCTCCCAGCACCTGTAATACATCTTCTCTTGGATGCCCCTTTCAAATTTACTTTCTGGATTGAATTGGGTCCCCTCAAAACATGTGTTGTAAATGCTAATCTCTATGCCTGTGGTTATAATCTCATTTGGAAGTGGGTTGCCTTTGTTATATTAATGAGACAGGATTGGTGTACAGGTGTCTTAAGTCAATCTCTTTCGAGATATAGAAGAGATTCAACAAGGAAGCTAGGCGATAGAGATGGGGGAGGGGAGGTGCCACATGGAAATTGCCCAGGGGCAGGAGCTCAGAAAAGGCAAGGATCTTCTTCCAGGGCTGACAGAGGAGAGAAAGACTTCCCCTAGAGCCGGCACTCTGAATTCAGCCTCCTAGCCTCCTAAACTATGAGAAGAAAATTTCTGTTTGTTAAAGCCACCCGCCTGAGGCATTTCTATTATAGCAGCATTAGATAACTAAGATGGAATTTGGCCCCCAGAAGTCGGAGTGGTGCTCTAACAGATACCTAAAACGTGCAAGCGGTTTTGGAATTGGGTAATGAGCAGAGGCCGCAAGAGTTTTAAGGTACCTAATAGTAAAAGCCTAGATTGCCTTGAAGTGACTCTTGGCAGAATTATGGACATCAAAGGTAATTCTGGTAAGGGCTCCAGAAGGAAATGAGAAGAGCTATAGAGAAATTAGGAGCTCTGGTAGCGTAGTGCCTAAGGCACTTGACTGCTTACCAGAAACCTGGCAGTTCAAACCAACCAGCCACTCCTCGAAAGGAAGGTTGGGCAATCTACTTTCATAGTGATACGGCCTCGGAAACCCAAGGAGGGGTCGTTATGAGTTGGGTCTGACTTGACGGCACACAACAACAACAACAACAACGAGAAATTATAGAGGACACATATGGCACCAGCAACAGCATGTTGCTAGAAATGTGGATGTTAAATATGCTTCTAGTGAAGCTTTAAAAGAAAATAACAAACATGTGATTAGACAATGGAGGAAGGGTGATGCTTTTTATGACGTGGCAAAGAAATTATCTGAATTCTGTTCAAATGTTTGGTGGAAGGTAGAACTTGTAAATGATGAAGTTGGATATCTGGCTGATGAGATTTCTAAGCAAGAGTTTTAAAGGGGCTGTGTGGTTGCTCCTTGCCTCTTACAGTAAAATGAGAGGAAAGAGATGGACCTTAAAAATAAACTGCAAAATGAAAACAGAACTTACAGATTTGGAAAATTCTGCTGTACAAACTAAGGACATGTGTCCTAGAATGTTAACCAAGGATGTGTCTACACCATCTTTTGTTAAAGACCTTAAGCCTGTAACTGATGGAACTAATCAACTACCACAGCAGAAAACCACATCAGGTTAGACTGAAGGGGTCACAGACAGGGGTCAAAAAGAAAACTGTCTGCCTCTTGGAATACTACAGGCAGGAAACAGCCAAAGGAGCTGCATCTGTTGCCCTCCAAATACAGAAAAGGACCATCCCTGAAGCAGCTTGGACATCAGCAGAACTGTTGGAAGGAGCACGGGAAGCAGGGCCTTTTCAGTTTCAAAGGGTGGGTCTGTGGTATCCTGGATCTGAAAGGGTGAGGCCACAGCCTCCTCGGTTTCAAAGAGCTGGATCTTTGCCAGCTTGGTTCTGGAGTGTGGGGCTGCTGTAAGGTGTGCCAGGAAAATGGGGCCACTGCTGAGGGGATGAAGTTGCCATGCCCAAGGGGTAGAATGGAACCTGCTGGGGCCAAGGAGATGGGTTGCCATTCACATAGACTAGAAGAAGGGGCTCAAAGCTGAGAAAGCAGAGTTGCCATCCCAGTGGGCCTAGAGAACAAAGCTGAAGCCCAGGGCCAAGGAGTCTCCACCCAGAATCCAGAAGATATGGCCAACCTCCAGGGTCTGGAGGCCAGGGCCATGGCCCAGATAGTCTCAGAGAACAGAGGAGTATTTTCAAACCTTGAGAGCAAATGTGAGGGTTCTGCTGGGGTCTGAACTTGCTTGGTGCCCATTATCTCTTCCTTTCCTCCAGTTCCTCTCATTTGTGATGGAAATGTCTACCATGTGCCTGTTCCACCATTGTACTTTGTAAACAGATAACTTGTACATTTCACAGGTTCACAGATGAAGAGGACTTTTGCCCCAGGATAAAATACATCTAAAGTCTCAACCATATTTAATTGAGATGATTTAGAAGATGAGATTTTGGACTTGCAGTTGAAAAGATTTCTGGATGATATGATGGAGTAAATGTGTTTTGCATGTGGGAAGGACATCAAAGGGTGGAATGTTATGGATTGAATTTTGTGTCCCCTAAAAATTGTTGTTGTTGTTGTTGTTGTTATGTGCCATCAACTCAATTCCAATTTATAGCAACCCTGTGGGCAACAGAACGAGACGCTGACTGGTCCTGCGCCAGCTGCACAATCATTGATGTTTGAGCCCACTGTTGGCGTCACTGTGTCAATCGATCTCATTGCAGGTTGTCCTCTTTTTCACTGACCCCTCTACTTTACCAAGCATTATGTCATTCTCCAAGGACTGGTGTCTCCTGATAACGTGTCCAAAATATGTGAGAATAAGTCTCACCAACCTCACTTCTAAAGAGCATTCTGCTTGTTCTTCAAGACAGATTTGTTCTTCTAGCAGTCCATATTGCAGTGTGATTATGAGTCTTCCTCCAGTCCTGATGCCATGTTCTTCTACATGTAGTCCAGCTTCTCAGATTATTTGCTCAGCATACAGATTGAATAAGTATGGTAAAGGATACAACACTGACAAACACCCTTCCTGATTTTAAACCAGGCAGTGTCCCCTTGTTCTGTTCGAACAACCGATTCATGGTTTATGTACAGGTTCCTCATGAGCACAATTAAGTGTTCTGGAATTCCCTTTCTTCCCAATGTTATCTGTAATTTGTTATGATCCACACAGTCAAATGCCACTGCATAGTCAATAAAACACAGGTAAATCTCTTTCTGATATTCTTTGCTTTCAGCCAAGATCCATCTGACATCAGCAATGATATCCCTTGTTCCACATCCTCTTCCAAATCCAGCTTGCATTACTGGAAGTTCCCTGGTAGTATACTGCTGCAACCATTTTTGAATTATCTTCAGTTTTATTTGAGTATGATACTGTTTGATAATTTCCACTTTCTGTTGGATGACTTTTCTTTGGAATGGGTACAAATATCAGTCTCTGCCAGTTAGTTGGCCTGGTAGCTGTCTTGGCATAAATAATTAAGCACCTCCAGCACTGCATCCATTTGTTGAAACATCTCAATGGGTATTCTGTCACTTCCTGGTTGTTGTTGTTGTTATGTGGTGTTGAGTTGGACCCGACTCATAGCGCCCTCTCCTTGGGTTTCCGAGGCAGTAATGCTACAAAAGTATATTGTCCCATCTTTCTTCCGAGGAATGGCTGGTGGGTTTGAACCACCAGCCTTCTTGTTAGCAGCCAAGTGCCTTAGGCACTATGCTACCAGTTGTTGTTGTTGTTGTTTGCTGTTGAGTCAGCCCCGACTCATAGCGACCCCTCCTTGGGTTTCCGAGGCAGTATCACTACAGAAGTAGGATTGCCCAACCTTCCTTCCGAGGAGTGGCTGGTGGGTTTGAACCTCCAGCCTTCTGGTGAGCAGTAAAGTGCCTATGCTACCAGAGCTCCTGTCAATTCCTGGAGCCTTCTTTTTCACGAATTCCTTCAGTGCAGCTTGAACTTCTTCCTCCAATACCACTGGTTCTTGATTATATGCTGCCTCCTGAGATAGTTGAATATTGACCAATTCTTTTTTATACCAATTCTCTTTTATGTATTCCTTCCATCTTCTTTTGATGCTTCCTGGATCTACCCGTATTCTCCCCATAGAATCCTTCAGTATTGCAACTCAAGGATTGGATTTTTTCTTCAGTTCTTTCAGCTTGAGTAATTCCAAGCATGTTCTTTCCTTTTGGTTTTCTAACTCCAGGTCTTTGCACATTTCATTATAATACTTTGTCTTATCAAGCCACCCTTTGAAATCTTCTGTTCAGCTCTTATACTTCATTATTTCTTCTGTTTGCTTTAGCTACTCTATGTTCAAGAAGAAGTTTCAGACTCTCTTGTGACATCCATTTTGGTCTTTCTTTCCTATCTTTTTAATGACCTTTTGCTTTCTTCATGTATGATGTCCCTGATGTCATCCCACAACTCATCTAGTCTTCAGTCATTAGTGTTTGATGTGTCAAATCTATTCTTGACATGATCTCTAAATTCAGGTGGGATATACTCATGGTTGTACTGTGGTCCTCAAGGACTTATTTTAATTTTCTTCAGCTTCAACTTGAACTTGTCTATAAGCAAGTTCTACAGTCAGCCTCTGGCCTTACTCTAACTGATAATACTGAGCTTCTCCATCTTCTCTTCCACAGATGTAGTTGATTTGATTGCTATTGTATTTCATCCAACAAGGTCTACATGTATAGTTGCCATTTATATTTTTGAAAAAGGTATTTGTAATGAGTAAGTCTTGTAAAATTCTCTCGTGTGATCTCTGGCAGCATTTCTATCACCAAGGTTATTTTTCAGCTACTAATCCTTCTTCATTTCCAACTTTCATATTCCAGTCACCAATAATTATCAATACATCTTAATTGCATGTTTGATCAATTTCAGACTGCAGAAGTTGGTAAAAATCTTCAATTTTGTTATCTTTAGCATTATTGGTTGGTGCATAAATTGGAATAAAGTCTATTAACTCGTCTTCCTTGTAGACGTGGATATTGTCCTGTCACTGATAGCTTTGTACTTCAGGACAGATCTTGAAAAGTTCATTTTGACAATGAATGTGATTCCATTCCTCTTCAACTTGTCATTTC